TTAATACATTTTTAACTTCATAGATTTATTTATTTATTAGGTTTTATATTTATGTCTTTATTGAAATAGTTACTTTATAAGCCTTTCTCTGACCTGAACATGAATCTGAGGGGCCAGTGGAGAGGCCAACATTTTTCAAGAAGGGGTCATGGCCCTCTTATGCCCCCCTCTTGGGGTTGCCACTGTTTGTATCTCTTTTTTTTTTCCAACAAAATTAAAGCGAAAAAACCCTTATATTTTACTCACCCTCATATCGTTACATTTTTACAATAACTAAAATGTACTGCCTCGTTAACCTAATAGTAACGTGCTTCGAGACTCTTATTTTGAAATCGCACCCGGAAGTTTAACGCCTCCGACGTCTTGTTTTGACGCTCAACATAAACTATTTATTGTAAACTTGGGTCAGGCCGGAGAGACGCGGGGGACTGCAGCTGTTGTTACAGCTGACACCCTTCCAGCTGCTGGCAGGTTAGTCGCTCCTCTCCTTCCTATCGCTTCCCCGGTCCGCCGCAGCCCGAAACGCGGCGCTGCCTCCAGCCGGGCAGCTGCTGCTGCTGCGTCAGTTCCTAACAGTGACAGCCCCACGCCCTCCTTATGTTTATTCCTCATTCTCTATTTGGATATAAAGTGTGTTTTAAATCGCGGAACTGCTGCAGAAAGTCACTTTGCGATTTGTTTAGTGAGTCCAGCGGGCGACAGCAAGTCAAACACGCAATGGGCTCCCCGCAAGTGTGAGCACATTTTTGTTTTAATTAAAGCTGTATTAAATAGGTGAGTCTTTATTCTCCCCAGCCTCTCGTCTATAAAACGGCAGGCTTTTATCTGCACCAATGAAAGAGAGGGAGAAACAGGAGGAGGTGGGGTGAATTAGGGAGGAGAGGGGGGGTGTTACACAGTCCTACAACCGTCTTTCCTGTCCTGTTTATCCGCGATGTAGGCCAGCTCTGTCCGGCTGCGAACCAACTTCCTGCATGTGGAAGTAGGAGGAAGGGGATTTCTGAGGCTTTAGCGGCCGCAGCTGCCGTCTGATCGCGATCCCCCGCTCCTCTCCGCGGATGGTGCGGGGTGGGATCATCTGGAGAGGCCGTGGCAGACATTTTACCCACGGTCTTCAGGAGCCTGGCAACTCGGACGGGGACCTCCGCGAAGGTAAAGCATCATTCTGTTGTATGTTTGACACACGCAACAACAAAAAAAGTAGTTGAATAAAAGTTTGACTCAAGGATTTTAAAGCTTCACATAAAGGAGGAAAAAAAAATAAGTTGTATTAAAATATGACCTACCATTTAGAGCATGGTGTTTAGCTACTTTATATTTGTTCAAGGTAGTGAAATAAGCAGCTGGGCCTTTAAGCCATAAGAGCACCAGAACTTTCAGAGTGTAGATTTTGTGTGCTATGCACCTCAAATCTGGAAAAACTTCCAGAAAACTGCAAAACAGCTGAAACAGAGTTCATTTAAACCAAAATTAAAAACGCACCGATTACAGCTGCGTTTGGACCATAAATTTGACCAACATATTTGATGTGTATTGATGATTGCACTTTACAAGATGTAATGTCTGTTATTTTTTTACAACTATTGACTATATGATGTGTTTATTATGTTTACACAACACTTAATAAATGCGCTATATTAATGAAATTGATTGATATAATTGATCATCTTTCGAAACAAAACTGTTGATCATGGATGTAAATTCCTCCCCCCCCCCCCTTTGGGGGTATCCTGTTTTTTTTTGATAGGTTAATAGAACAATTCACTGTTCTGGTTTTCAAAAACAAAGGATAATACTGCCTTACACTGATCATACAATTTGCACATGCACAGACAGCTGCTAAACACAGCAAATGCTAAATGGCAAGAATTTCCCCCCATATTTTGGCGCCCCCTCTAATGCAGCGCCCCTATGGTGCATACCCACTTTTTACGCCAACTGTCATTGGTTTAGAGCATACATACCTAAGAAGGACCAATTTAGAGAAACCAATTAACCTTATAAGGAAGTAGGAGTACCCTGAGAGAACCCACAGGGAGAACATGGAGAACAACCCCAGGTTCAAACTCATGACCTTTATAGCTGCAGGGCAACGGCGCCACCATTTAAAGATTTAAAGAGGAAATCACTCTCTCTGATGATAGTAGGAACCCCCTTTTAATTCAAAGTCCTCCCTGCGCATCACGGAGCCTTGAGTCGGTTCGGATTTTATTCTAAAAAAGCAACATTGCACACCGAGTCCAACTTGTTTTGGCCCGCTACAATCGGGGCTGCAGGTGGATATAAGCAGCGATTAAACTGTTTTTTCAAGGTTTTGCAAAAGTGCAGGCAGATTGGTTAAAACCCAACCCTTGATGGCGGGCGGGGGGGTTAAAAACGCGGAGGTTTGATTCTCATCCTCATTAATATCGGACATCCGGTGGCACTGCCAGCTGCGCCCCATTTTTTATTGTTGTCTGTGCGCTGAAAGGATGACTGCCGGGTCGTCTCTCCGCGCCGCGGAGCGCAGCAGCGGCTGCTGGTGAGGACATATTCGCTTCTTTTTATCTTTTTAGAAACTGAATATGCATAAGGAGGGTTATTAGGACTGTGTGTGTGCGTGTGCGTGTGTGTGTGTGTGTGTGTACAGTGGAATAGAGGCTGTGCCTTCTGGATGTTCTCAGCCGGCCACCACAGCTCCCTCCCCCGCTGCTGTTTCATCCAGCTGCGCGGACACAACCGCGTGTTCATGACCAGATAGCCCACCAACCGGCACCCGATCTCCACCCTTAAATCCAATTTGTTTGCCCTCATAGAAATGTTTTTTTGCATGAAGATGCGCACAGAACGGACAGAGAGCCACTTCCATCCCTCCGTGGCTGAGTGGGAAACGGAGCTCCAAGGACACTGAGGGAGGCGGGGGTCGTTTATTTAACCTACTTTTCCTCTTTTGCATTCATTCACGCAATTACGACAGAAATGGAGAACTCAGACGCACATCTGTGATTTGATCGGTGTCCAGATTGATTTGTTTAGCTTTAATTTGGGTTTAAATGGGCTTCCCAGATTGACTGACAGACAGCACGGTGTCTCCCCGGACCGCTTCCCCGCCTCCTCATCGCGGTTTTCGGCCATGGTGTTCCATCCCAGCCTCTCTCGCTGCTCCGCTCGCCTTGTTTCGTGCGCAGCCATCCGTGGTTCAGGATCATGCTTGAGTTATGATTGAGTCTTTATTCCAGCGACTGAATTTTGATTCTTTCTCACAATCTAAATTTACCGCAAGGTTCACAGACAGGATTGTGCTTAGTGCATGAAAAATGCCATGATTTAAAGGGGGGGAAATAAATAAATAAAAGTTATTACCTCGAAACACATAAACATGTTTCTGCATTTAAAGTTTTGATTTTAAAAAAAATTAGTCACATTTACCTGGGTAACTTTTTCGACAGAATGTTCTTGTAGGAGTATTTTTACTACGCTGCACTTTTAATTTTTACTTAAGTAGTTTTATTATGAAGTATCGTTGCTCTTAAGTAAAATTTCTCCCACTGTGAAGAACAAGCCCGTTTTAACTTTAAAAAAATCACCACATAGACACATATCTGCAGTTTTTGTTAAAGTTTTGTAAGTTTCTTAGTGAAAGAAATTGATTTGGAAAAATGTTTTTTATGCCTGATTTTGCTACTTAAGAATTATATTATCTGTGCGAATTATTTTCATTTTGGACTTTAAAATACCAACATTTCCACATAACTTTGTATTTTGGTTCATCTGATGTTGTTTTTAAATGTTACATTATTTATTTTTTCAGTACTTAAGCAGCTTTTTTGACCAAATCCTTTGTTTTTACTGAGTAATTTCTTGTATGACTACTTTTTAACTTGAGTAAAAATATGTTGAAGTAGTGCTGCTCTTACTTCAGTATAACCTCTGGGCATTCTATTGATAGAAAATATTAAAATGCTCCAGCTTTGATATAGATGTTTAAAATGTCCATCTTTCTACATCTTTCAGGATTTCTGCATGTTTTCCAGTCTTTCCAAAGTCTCAAGCCTCAAATTTCCTCAGGCTTTATACATGAAAACTGTTAAATCACACCCTGTAAAGACAAAGAAGAAAAGTAGAAATATCTTTTATTGTGCCACAGTGGGGAAATTTCTGTGCAACAGCAGCAACGTGTCAGACAATAAAGAGTAAAAATATTGCACAGTATGGGCAGAAATTTAATATTTATAAGTAGGAATGAAAGATGGATTATTGAATAGATGGACATGCAAATGGGACAGCAAATCGACTGATACATGAATGAATGAAAAGAGGCAAATTGACTAGATAGATGGACGTATGGATTGATTAGTGGATGAAAAAAGCCTGAAGATCGATTTTTTTCCATTTTTCTTACATTACATTTTTGTGTTTTTGTGATGTAAAGCATTTTGAACTGCCTGAAACGTGCAAAACAAACGAACCTGATTGATTGAAGTCAAATTCCAAGCAGGAAACCTGATCTTATTTTAGATTTCTGTCCCATGTTTGTCTGAATTGAACGTCTTTGTGCATTCCAGACACACATATATACTATATTTTTTATTTTGTGTACAATTTTGGCTAAATTTTGGCTCTGACTGCATTGTTCTTTCAGTAATTTGTTCTGTTTTTGAGTCTATATGCTCCAGTTAACGATTAATCGATTACTAAATTAGTTGACGATTATCTCAATAAGCGATTAATCGCGATGAATTCAATTAATCGTTTCAGCCCTATAGTCAGTTATATCTTTGGTTGTGTTAACATGTTCAGTTTTACTTTGAAGCTGGTGTTTTTACTCCTACCTCCCTCTGAAACAGCGTAGCCCCCCTCTATGGGCCGATATGAAGGACAAAATGGCCGCCGTCATGCATGAACTGCACCACATGAGCCGTATCGCTCCACACTGTAAATGTTAGCACTCTTGTTTGGCTTGTGAATATATATCTGGCCACAGACCTTGCGGTGCTCAGGGCATTTTGTTTGCTCCCAGATTCTTGTTTGCAAAGAACAAAACAAATCTTTGGTCGATCTTCACAGTGATGGGAGCTGCTGGATTGAAACTTACGGTGTTTGGAGATTAATGGCTTCTGTTTGGTTTCCCTGTGCTGCTGCTGTAAAATCCACCTGTCAGAGTGAGTTTATTAGCTGTGGGACCTTTGGACCGAGTCCGATGTTGAGCCAACAGTCGCAAAATGAAGCCAGTTGTTGCAGAAATACCTGCTTTGCAACTCAGCAGGAGCCTGAAATACTGCTGAGCTTAAAAATCTCTGATTTTTTCCAACCATTTTAATAGATTTTTTTCTTGCTTTTTTACTTTAACCTTCTTTTCTGTAAGTTGCACAACAGAGTATTAGAACCTGAAACAAGAATATTTGTTTAATTAAGAGAATATAGTCATAATATTAGCAGAATAAAGACGCCATTCTACCAGAAGACTGTCATAATATTTCAAGAAAAAGTAGTTTTAATTATTACAAAGCTTGAGTAATTAATCTTTTGGTGTTTTTCATAAAATTTCTGGCTTTATTCTCATATTCCCACAACTGTATTTTTGCAACATCATGACTTTATTTTTTATTAAAAGAAGAAATCTTAGCTTGACCCTTTGAGTTCAGAGTTGACCTAAATTCAAAGTCCAAATAAATAGAAACTGTAAAAGACTTTGGTCAAACAGGATGACATCTTTGTGGTGTGCTGACGTCACTCTGAACTTTGAACTAAATAAGTGGATTGTGAGAACAAAAAATTCAGATTTTCCAAAGATAAAAACAAACAAAAATTTGATTAATCAATAAAATTGATTTATTGTCCAGCCCTAGTCTGAACAGAAACACAGAAGAGTCAGGAAAGAACATGAGTGTAGGGCTGAGACGATTAATCGATTGTTGAAATAATCATCAACTAATTTAGTAATCGATTTTTCTTTTTGCATTTTAGGCTATAAAATGTTTATTTTCTTACTTACAAATGGAATTGAATTACTTGTTTGCATATTTTAATGTATTTCTAATATTGTGTAAAAAGTCTTCAGTGGTTAAATGGAAAATCTGCAGAATCCATCCATCCATCCATTTTCTGAACACCCTTGTCCTTCAGTGGGGTCGGGAGGGGTGCTGGTGCCTATCTCCAGCTAACGTAATCTGCAGAATGTGCAAACTTTTTAATTGATTAATCGAGTAATCAGAATAATCAGTAGAATAATTGGTTATTGAAGCAATAATTCATAGCAGCCCTAAAATCTGAGATTTTATTTAAAAAGCATGTTAACACGTTGCTGAACTTCTCTGTGTGTTTCTTTTGTGCCATAATTTGACGTTTAATGCGATTACTAACAGGATTCCTGGTACCTGAGTTGTGGAGGCATTTGTCATGTTTTTCCTAAGTTGAGAAGGAAGCAGTTTAAACTGGCATTTAAGCCGGTCGTGTTGTGTGCACAAGCAAAACCGCTGGCATGAAAATGCACACGGCACTAAATCTTCCACAAACCTGCAGCACTTTGCGGGTTGAATCGCCTCTTCTCCGTGCTAGAGAGGTATGTCTCTTAGCGTTCGTAGTTTTGCAGGGATCATTATTCTCCTTATCGAGTTCAGACTTTACTTTATGCGTCTGGCGACTGTTTGTGTTACAGCGGCTTGGTAGCTGGCATGCTTTATGAGCCAAATACCAGCTTTCCAAGCGGCTTCTCACAACTGCCAGGCAGATTTTCATTTCCTCATTCCTGTGCTCCCGAGGTCAATCCAAAGGGAACATATTCTGGCATTGTTCTCAAATCACTGAGCAAGGGTCTGTTTGAGCTGCATGCTTTGGCTTTTCCGCAGTTTTCCAACAGTATGCCAGCATTGTTTCTGCTGTGAGTGTGTGTGTGTGTGTGCATAGATGTTACCCTGTATTTCATCATGTTGCCATTTGTAAGCGTCTCAGGCTGATCAGTGCTTACAGCTTTGCCTCGTCTCTTCTTTTCTAAAGATGTCGTTGGTCGAGTGTGATCGGGTCGGGAGTCAAAACGCACTTTTCCTAACGATTCGGTTTAACATTTTTTTCTGAACAACCTCAGCCAAAATCCCTGTATTCAGTTGTAAATGAGAAAGCAGTAAAAACTCTCTGGAAACCTGCCTGCATTATCATAACAATGTGCGGATGACTTGTTTTTTTTTACCGTTTACAGTGAGCCGTTTTATGCAGCTAAGAAATGTTTTCTATAAACTACAACATTTAGGCTCATCGCGGTGTTTTTGTTGTTTGTTCTTTATCTGCATCGTTATAAAAAAAGTTGAGGTTTCCATGTAGCTACAGCAGAAGTCGTTCCAATAAGAAGTTGCACGAAGTATTAGAATATCTGGGCTTTTTTGGAACATAAAGTGACAAATTCAAGTTCAAAAATACGTAATTAATCCCAAAGGGAAGTTAAATAACCTCCTCTCACATGTTGCTGTGCACTGCTGGTCAACTGGCCGAAGAAAGGTAATAAGACTGAGACGATTAATCATCATTAATCGTGATTAATCGATTATTGAAATGATTGTCAACTGATTTGTAATTGATTGTTTACTAGAGTAAATACAGATATACAATGTGCTAATTACTTAATCCAATTAATCGTCAGAATAATGGATAGAATAATCGATTACTAAAATAATTGTTAGTAGGTAATCATGTTAAACATATTAACTTAAAATTACAGCTTCTATAGTAGGAATTTCTATATTTACGATATAATCTTTGTGTCACACGTTCTCAATTTTGTTGCCAAGATTTTGTTAAAACTTTGTTAGCAGGAAACTGGTATTTTTACTCAAACTAATCTGATCAAGATAATCTGGTTACAGTTGTGCACAGAATGAGGGCATATTGTCTTTTCAAACTCAGTTTCTAAAGTAAATAAAAGTCTACTTATCACAACAATTTCTTTTTATTTTAGCCTGTTTTCAGTGGGGATTTGTCAGCTAAGCTGCCTCTCAGGACATATTGACTGATCAGCTGCAGAAAAGCCCATGTTTAGACGTCAAGGATAATGTTTTCTTTCCACTTCCTGTTTCACAACTCAGGATATTTTCCCCTGGAGAGATCTGAAGTCACGGCGAAAGGTTCTGACAGTGCAACAAATATATTCGGTGAACGTTGCAGATTCAGTTCCTGTGCGCTAATTTTAGACTTCAGTCGCTGACATTCAAATTCAATCACCAAAAGCTTAAAGAATGAGCTTTATGTTTAAAAAGCCCTCTCACTGTGCTTTTGTGTTTGTACAAAATGATCAGTTGCGCTTTATTTCAGTGCAGTGATATAATTAGAACAAGTAAAAATATAATAACCCACCATCTTAAATCCGTTTATCAATCTGATTAGCTGATCAAATGCTTTAAAAAAATCAGCATCTACCTCCTGAACATGTGCAGCTACCAATGCTTTGCTTCAAAATGGCCTCTTATTAGAGGAAAATCAGATAGAAAATGGGCACATTCTGCAGATTTTTTATTTCAGCTTTTTTTAAATGCAATACTAAAAATACATAAAAATCCTCTAAACAATTGAGTACATTCCTTTTAAAATAAGAAAATAAACATTTGATTGCCTAAAATGCAATGAAGTAGCATTCCTTTAATGTATGGTTGATCATTTAAGGATGCATTTGCAGTTAAAAATACTTTACAGAAAATAAATTTGCTGTATTAAATGAAAGGCGTCTAGTTTTTAGTTTCTTTTGGACTTGATTTAACAAATTTATTTTCAGTAATAAGAACAGGATTTCAAGGCGCCTGCTCTGTTTATGGCTTATAAACATTATTCCTGTCTGGCTCTCGCACATATAGAGTCTATAAATATGATATTTATAAACTAACAGGAGTTTATAAATATCATATTTATAAACTAATAGGAGTTTATCAAGAGAAACTCCTACTAGTTTATAATTGTGGATTACTTTTATTTTTCTTCTGTTCTTTTGTTTGTGTTCATGTAAAGCCCTTTGAAATGCCTTGTTGCTGAAAATGTGTTTTCTAAATAAAATTATTTTACCTAAAAAATGCATACAATAAAAGCTGATGTGGGAGCAGCAGAGTCGGCTTTTCAGTAAACGTCTCTGGAAAAATGCGGTTTTACTTCATGTAAAAGCTTGGCTATGAAAAGACGAATGCTTTGTGTTGCACTTTACATTTTTTATTTTAACTAATTCGGTAATAGTTTCATCCTGATTACAAATAAAAATTGCATCACAGTTGAATTGCAGTTGGAGGGCTGCACAAAATCAATCCAAAGTGCACAAACTGGCCCCTGCGCCGCACTTTTAACACCCCAGCTATAAATATTAAGTTTTCACATGAATTGAATGTAAGTGCCGACAGGATCCTGTAAGACTTACGAATGTGTTCATAATATGTGTGAAAAAAAAGTTTGCGCCGCTGCTCAGCGTTGGCCATAAATCTATAAGCTGTTTGAGTTTTGCTAAGATTTTGCCTTCATGAATCATTTAATTTGCGTTTTTACTTTAGATTTACTGTCTTCTCCTGTTTCCAGGTGCTTAGATTTCCATTCCTCCTCTGCAGGTTGTGTAATATTTAACAAAGTGACATCAAAGTTATTCTTTGTTGAAGCTCGTGTCAAAACATCTGTTCATCCAGAAGTAACAAATGCTCTGTGGTAATCCTCCATATTTGCTGCATAATCAAATTTAACCTTTTCTTGCCCCATAAAAGCTTCTGCAATTGTTGTTTGGAAAGCTCTCTGTTGACAGGAAGTGACATGTCCTACATTTCTGTTCAGCAGGAAGCTGGTTTATGTCGAATAAATGGATGTATTAATAGCAAAAAGAGAAGCAGGCCACAAACACGAGCAGGTTTAGCTTTGGTGGCTGCGCAGACTTTAAAAAGGAGAGCAGTACAGCAAAATAAAGCCAAACAGTGAAAAATGGCTCCTGCTGCCGAATCACATTCATCTCAGAAATGTTTGCTGTTGGACACGTTAAAATCCTCTGATAGTTTGTCGTTTTTTGATCAAACAAAGCAAACATGTGAGTGTAAATTTAAGGAGACTCACAGCTTCCTGTTTCTTTTGTTTCTTCAGACTGTGACAAAGATTTTTGGGGATACGAAATGTGAAAGAAGGGCTCCACTTTTTCACCTTCTCAGTCTAAGGTAAGAAACATTTCCTTCTGTCGCTTCTGTTTGGAAACGTTTTGACTGTGTGACGTTTTCTCTGGAAATTAATTCGTCTTTATCTTTTTTACTGTAAAATATTTTCCTCTGCTGTGTGTAGAACCATTGTGTTTGTGTAAATCACATCCACTGATGCTTTAATGGTCACTTTTCCTTCTGCAGAAAAGTGACTGCTTTTGAAAACCCCCAGAATGAAACGCCCCCTCTGCCTCCTTCAGTCTGAAGAGCTTTTTAAATTGTATTGGATAACATTTATTTGGCAAGGTGTGCATAAATAAGACTGCGATGAAGATGAAGCAGTTTGAATTTTTATGACTGCTGACACTTTTAATTAAACTTTTAATGCAACTTTGTATTAAAGTGTCATTATTTACTGACTGACACTTCATGACAACAGTCGTAAACATTCATGGAGACTCCTTCATGTTCATGCTGTCAGTCTTATGCACACCACTTCAAATAAGGTGTTGCCTTTTACTGTGTGCAAAATTACATCCAAAATTGATTATTACTGCAGCTTTGGTGATCTGAATAAATGGACATTCCCAATGGGATTTAAAAACAAACAGAGAAATCAGATCAACCTCCTTTATTTAGGAGAATTGGCTTTTTCTAATGTAGTTTTATTGTTTATAGTCAGTAATTCAGGTGTTTTCTGTGTGTCTCTCCTTTTATGAAGGTCTGGGTTTGCAAATTAACCTGTACAAAACGATGGTTGCTTTGTTTTGAACATGTAAGATTGCTTGATGTGCTGCTGTTCTTTAAATTGAAATGGAAACCAGCTTTTATCTTCAGTTTTTTGAATTTGGTTACTAAGGGCAAATCGATAAATCTTCCATAATTTCCTTAATTTTTGGGAGATCATCTGATCTTTTCTGTCTTCACAGAAAAGGAGCCACGTCTCCTTTTGCTCTGCAGAGAGAGACTCAGTCTGCAGACGCTACCCGTCTGCACGTCTCTGTACCCACAAATTTAAGCTAATGTTTTTTTCCAGACACCAAAAAACATTAACTTATTGGCAGAAAACAGCTGAGTGTTTTTTTTATTACTATTTTAAAGGACTTGAGCTGTTTTTAGAAGCAGTAGAAACTGAGACAGAATAACAAAAACATGAAAGTTTTCATGATACGTCCCGTTTAAGATCTAATATTATCACATTATGTTACATTATTACTGCCAAATATAGTCAAGACCATTTATCCCATTCATCATTTTACCAACAGCAGCCGACTTTAAAAATCTGAGCAAAACACTGTAGCATAATAGAAACAAATAAAAACATTGAGGGGGTAAAGTGGGAGACGACTGAGACAAGATTCAACAAGTACGAAATATTTTCCTCAACAAAACGCCACCAGTTCAGCTAAATTTAAATTGTTTTTCTGGGTTGAACTAATTTTTCTTATACAAAAACAGAAAATGTTACCAAGTATTTCTGGTCTAGTTTCTACTGCAAATATCTTAGTACACTTTAAATAAAAAGTAACTTATAAATAACTTTGCAACTTTAATCAAAATTAATTAAGTCAATAATTAATTTTCAATAATTATTGACTTTCACTCAAAGTACTTGTATAAAGAAGATAAAAACAAGAAAAAAAACACATCAAACAGGTTAAAATTACACAGATTACATTTAAAAAGTTTTAAAAAACAATAACAAGTAAATAAATAAATAAAAATTAAAAAATTTAACAGTGGGCAACAGCAAACAAAAATGTTTGTAACCTTTATTAACCAGGTGAGGGCAGTTTTTTTTCTTGCATATTGTGAAATAATTATTTGGTTTAAATTGCAGCATTTAGTTAAAACTCACAATTCAAGATTAATGAGCTTAAAAACAATATTTAGACAACTTGTCTGTTGTTGTTAAATCAACTTCATAAACTTTAATTTCTGAGTTTAAACCAAAACAATTTTCTTGTGACTTAAATTACATTTTCCAGTCAGCAGGTGAACTTTCATTTTCAAGTTAAACCAACTTCACATGTTTTACAGTGAACAAGCTGCTTCACCTTGCAGAAAATCTGTTAGTTTTGTCTTATTTCGAGTGAATTACGATGTTTATTCTAATAAAACCCGTGGCCAGGTTTTGTGTTTTTGCAGAGCGGAAACACGCAGCAGAGCTGTTCTTGCTTGAAATGAAAAGTGCGTTTTGTTTTTGCTGCAGAAGTTGCCTGATGTGACGTGTCCACATCCTGACACCTTCCTGCCTCGGGCATGCCTCAGGTAAAGCCGCTCCGGCCCTCACGCCTTCGCTGCGCTTGGCCTACATGTTCACAGTTTCTCACCTGCTTCTCCGCTTGCAGCCGGGTATGAATGGGATGGAGCCTGCGTTTGGCGAGGCCTACGGGGGCCACAGGGGCCTGCTGAGCCCCTGCCCGCTGGCCATGTCGCCACAAGGGGGCAGGACTGAGTACGATCAGGTAGAGGACCAGGGTGGGGGATGGGAACTGATGGGAACTGATGGGAATTTATTGATACTGATTCCATCATCGATACTGATTCCATCATCGATATCACTTATCGATTCGATTCTCTTTGAGTTGTGAAATAAACTATTTAATTAAGAAATCGCACCATGATTCAAACTAAATCTGGCTTAAAAAATAAGAATCCCGCCGTCAAATGAGCATTTTAAGTTAAGTTTTATCCACCTCCTGGTTTTTCCACCTAACATTGATTTCTGAACCCTTCCTGATTAAAATATTAGTGTTGTTGTTTCTAAATGAACATGAATTTGTTTTCTTTGCATTATTTCAGGTCTGAAAGCTCTGCACCTTCTTCGTTATCTTGACCATTTCTCATTTTCTGCAAATAGAAACTAAATGTTTTATTGGTAACTTCAGAGACATGATGTCAGTAGTTCATAGAATAAAAGAATAAAGTTCATTTTACTCAAACATGAACCTATAAAGAGTAAAATCTGAGAAACTGGTCATTTTTAGTGGTTTCTTGATGTTTTCCAGAGCTGTATGTTTGCTGCTTTCAAGAAATTTAATCTCAAGTAACATTTTCTTAATTTAGAATATTTTTCTTAAAATATCTTATTTGTCTAAGTAAGACAAATACTTGATGTATTTTCAGTGACTTACTGCTTACACTTTTAAACAAGAAATAGGAGCTTGTTTTAAGTCAATAATTCCTTAATCCTGATAAAAAGTGCCAGTTTCTTTGGCAGATTATTTTACTTTCAACAAGACATTTTTCCCATTTGATACCTGAAATAATCTGCAGTGGAACTAGAACGTCTTCATCAATATCAAGGAGTTACTGACTTAAAATAAGCTCTTATATTTGCTGAAAATTTACTTGTAAGTTAATTTAGTTTTATTCCAAATGAAACAAGATATTTTTACTAGAAACTAGAGAAAAATACTTGGTAACATTTTGAGTTTTTGCAGTGTCAACTTTTGACCGAGCAACTTTTACTTGTAGTTGAGCAACATTTGTCCATCAGTATCAATACTTTTACTAAAGTACTCCAGTACTTTGCTAAAGTACTGGAGTACTTTGTCCATCTCACCCATAAATGTCTTCCCCTCGCCTGCTGTAGAGCGTGCTCCTGATGCTGGGCTCCCCGGCGTCGCCACGGAAACGGCCTTTCGAGCTGCTGAGCGACCTGGTGGATGATGGCGGTTTTGGCGAGGACCAGCATCCGGAGCGCTGGGACGTGTCGGCGCTGGACGAGATGGCCCGCTACACCAAGCTGGGCCTCGGAGTCGGCGGGGAGCTGCTGGCGTGCTCCGAGGACGCCATCTTGATGGGCCGCTGGGGGAGGAGCCGGGAGGAGGAGGAGGAGTGGAAGAAGAGGAGGGACGGCTGCGTGGCCCCTCCAGTAACCCAGGAAGTCCAGGTCTCGGCGGCGGGGAAGGAGTCGCCGCGTGGCCCTGTTACCGTGGCAACACAGAGGGAGCTGTGTGCCGCCGGAATGGGGATGGGAGACGAACGCGACCAAGAGCTGTCGAGGGAGTGTACAGTGGAGGTGTATCAGGTGGCGCCCGAGGAAGAGGAGGGGCAGGAACAGGAAGCGGCGGCGGCGGCGGCCGGGTCAGGGCTGGCGCTGGAGCACTGCAGCGAGGAACACAACTACTCCCTGAGCCAAGGAGGGGAAAAGGCGGCCAGGCCGGCGCTCAGCGCTCTGCCGGAGGAGGCGAAGGAGGCTGAGGTTCAGCAGGAGGTGCAGGGCAGCGAGGACAGCCAGGCGAACACAGAGCTGGAGGACGAGGAGGAGGAGGAGGAGGAGGAAGAGGAAGAGGAAGAGGAACAGGAGGAAGGGGCAGAGGAAACGGCGGTGGAGGCTGAACTCTCGAGCTCCTCAGAAACTGAGTGTGGTGAGTTTTGGCTTTACGTGGCAAAGTGAAGTCAAGTTTATTTATTTGCACAGCACATTTCAGTCAAAGTGTTTTACTTCATAAAAACATAATAAATTATGAAACAAACAATAAAAACTACAAGTTTTGAAATCAAACAATCTTACAAAGTAAATTAAGAGCTTATTTTAGTCAATCTTTTGAGAATATTGTTTAAAAAGTACTGGTTCCACTGGCAGATTGTTTCACTTACGGGAAAATGTCATGTTATAAGTAAAACTAGTACTTTTTATCAATATTAAGGAATTAATTACTTAAAGCAAGCGCCTATTTCTTATTAAAAATTACTTGTAAGTCAGTTTTGTCTAATTTCAAGTTTACTAAGATATTTGCAATAGAAAGTGGACCAAAATTCTTGTAAGATTTTGTGTTTTTGCAGTGACTTTGTTGCTCATTTTTGTCCCACTACAATCCCACAAAAGTGCAAATAATGTGAGATCCTGGTTGGACCAGAGGTTTCATTATCGAGAATAAACCCGAAAAAGGCCTGACCATATGGACCTGTAATCCAGAGCAATGACTTCAGTAACATTTTGTGTTTTTGCAGCGTAGACTTTGTTTTCCAGAATGTGAACCCAGTTTCAGACTGTGATATCTGCAGTTGGTGGATTTGAGCCACACAGTAATCTTTGTGCCTTGCTAACTGTTCTGGTGCCAGTAAACCAGAACCTGAATGTGCAACAAGAGCAGACCTGCACAATGTTCCACATCTGAAAACCAGCATCAACATGATAAAGATCTTACAACCAAACAGTATTTACAGTAGCTTCTGGTTCACCAGAAACAGACGCATGTTCCAATATTTTCAGAAAAAATCAAAACTTCTTGTATTTAGCAAATATAAATAATTATAGTAATGTTAACTGGTCAGAAACAGGAAATATTTAATCTGGTTTAATGTGAAAAAAGTGATTTAAAAAAAGAGTTATATGTTTTTTTTATATAGTGCATAAATGTCTAATTTAATCTGGGTCTATGCCAAATGATAAATAAATAAATTATATAATAATAAATAATTTACCAGGGAGCAGCTCTGGTTTGGTTCATTTTAAATATCAGGAGATTCACTGTATATACCTGTGTGAAATTTGACCTAAAAACATCAGGTAGATAATTAATTCTCTAACTAAGAGCATGCATTCATTAGGATTCATTAGTTGACCTGAAGTGTTTTCTGAAGAAATGTTTTGCTTAGCAGCTAGCAGTGGGCGGCATGGACTTAAAGTTTTATCATATTTTGTACAAATACTATGATATTCATGTGATTTGTAAAACTAACTTGCAAACAGTAAGTGCTTTTAATTATATTTTACATTTTAAAAAAATATTTATTGATAGTTTCATTGAATAAATATGAAATATGCAGAGTTTCCCACAGAAAACTAATGTAGCTAAGCCCGATGGTTTATGCTAGCTTATATTAGCTTCTGGCAGCTAGCAGCTTCGGGAGACAGACCACTGCTGCAGATTTTAAATTTAAATTGAACAAATTAAATACAACATATCTTCCTGCTATGCTATATTACATATATATGTTATATTTGTATGTAAAACACAGGGTTTCCCACAGAAAACTAGCTAACCCTGATGTTGGGCTTAGCTAGTTTATGCTAGCTTATAGTAGCTGCTGGAGACAGACCACTGCTGCAGATTTTAAATTTAAATTGAACAAATTAAATACAACATATCTTCCTGCTATGCTATATTACATATATATGTTATATTTGTATGTAAAACACAGGGTTTCCCACAGAAAACTAGCTAACCCTGATGTTGGGCTTAGCTAGTTTATGCTAGCTTATAGTAGCTGCTGGAGACAGACCACTGCTGCAGATTTTAAATTTATAATGAAGAGATTATATATATAACATATCTATTCCATATGTTATATTACATATATATATATGTAGATCTTCAGTGTAGATTTTGTTTTATTTTTCCAGTCTCCTTCCCATTATCATCCCTTCTCCTCGCATAAATAAACAAATCTTAGGCCTCCTACTGCAAGGTAACAAAGGGATACATCTCGATGCCAAACCCCAGCTGGAGTCATATTTCTCCATTTTTCTTCTCCACAGAGTTGGTGTCTATTTAACCAGATAATCTTGTCATAACAATTTCTGACGTGGCAAACCAAAGGCGTCTGTAATGGGTGGAAATGTGTTGAGTTTGTGAATTTAGGAGGTTGAGGGAAAAAGGCAGAATATGTCTGTGTGGGATGGAAAGATTGAGCTGAGGGGAGAATGTGAACATGTAGACAATGGTGTTATCTGCAGACTGGACCAGATGACATTATGTTACATAAGCTGTGTGTGTGTGTGTGTGTGTGTGTGTGTGTGTGTGTGTGTGTGTGTGTGTGTTTATCTGGAAGCACTTGGCTAATGGAAAAACGTTCGGACTTGGTGTTTTGTTTGTGCAAATCAGATTTGCTCTCACTAGAACGTCTTCATCAGAGCCGGATTTTATTGGGATGTGGAGAAGCATCTCTTTTTGTTGTCCCAGTGGCGGATTTATTTTATTTATGAAGCTATTATTTGTGGCTTTGGACGCCTGAGGCTAATCTACAGTGACGTCTGTCCATGAAACAGTATATGTCCCTTCTGCTGGTGCTAGCTTTTCATTTGGACATGAAGCCTGTGTTGGTGGATTAAGGCTCCCAGCATGATTTCATACAGGCGGGAATATAAACTTAAAAACCTGTCAGTTATGATTAGGGCTCAGATTTTTTAGGTTGTTCTTCTAATAATTGTATTATATATGGCTGTCAATGTTTTCCACTTCTATAGAGAGTGTGACATTTAGTAATAATAGAAAAGCTCGGGGGTCGGATTCAGCATCGGGATGGTTTCATCACCGTTTCTCCGATCACTCAAAAAAAGGAACCACTGACTTAAGATATTTTGTTTCTTTTCAACAGGTCTTTAGTTGAAAGCAAAACACACTGTAAAACATTTGAAGGTGGTTTAACTTGGAAATGAAAGTCCACCTGCAGCCTTGAAAATGCAAGAAAATTGTTTTGGTTTTTGACTCAGAAATTAAAGTTCATGAAGTGGATTTAACAACAAGAGACAAGTTGTCTAAACATTGGTTTTTAAGTTCATTAATCTTGAATTGGGAGTTTTAACTTAATGCTGCAATTTAAACCAAATAATTATTTCACAATATGCAAGAAAAAAACAGTCCTCACCTGGTTAAAGAGCCACATTTCTCTAGTATTTTACTTTGATATCAAGTTAAAATAGCTACTTATTTTACTGCAGAATAATTGAAATTCTGCTGATACTGACAGGATTAGATATTTTGCTCTGGTTATTATTTGTTCTCTTTTTTAAAATTTGGGCTAATAATTCAACTTCAGTCTAATGCCTAAGGATAGATGGGCTTCTTATCTGATGCAAACTTTAGCAACACTTAATTTATGGATTGACAGAGAGTCTGTAATATTATAACTCTATGCACACATGCTAGAGAAATTACTGAAGTACATTCCTCTGGTGGTTGTAATTCATTGGTGGTCATCAGAGGTGGGTAGAGTACACAAAAACTGTATTCAAGTGAGAGTAGCACTCCTTCAACATACATTTTAAAGTAAAATGTAGTCGTCCAAGAAATTATTCAAGTAAGAGTAAAAAATTAATTAATGTATCATTGGTTGCATAAGTTGATATGAAATGTTGAGAACTGATAACTTCCTTTTTCTACACATTGCTCATATGAGTAAACCTTACATTGTTTCCCTCAGTAACAACTTACACACTGAAGAAGGTGGTTAGTTCTACTTGGCTGCACTCAGGAATAGACAGAGTCTTTGAATTCAAGAAGAGGTCAGAGTAAATCAGGATAAAACTAAAGTCCGCCGTTTTTGTTCTAATTCTGCCTCCTGTTTTTGCGTGTTTCTCCAGAGGTGGAGCCCGAGCCAGCCAGGCAGCCAGGCGAGCGTCCGGCTAAGCGTCGCTGTTTCTGGGAGTACAGACGCTCCAGGGAGTCGGCCACGAAGAAGAAGCTGGGCAGCAACGTCCACTGGTCTCTGTCCTGGAGCTCCAGCACGCTGCCCAGCACGCTGTACCGCCGTGAGGGTGAGCAACATTTAGGAGAAGGATAAAAAAAGGATACAACAGTGGCGACCCCAAGAGGGGGCCACGAGGGGACCAAGGCCCCCTCATGAAAAATGTTGACCAGCCCCCGGGATTCATGTAGTCATCGTCCTAAAGTAATGACCTAAGTCACTTTTTTTTTTTTGCCTAAACCATCTTTAGGCAAAAGAAAATAAAGGGGGTGATTTTTTTCCACCTGCCAAATTCACTTTTTTCAAAGAAAAATTAGAAAAATTACTTAGTGACTCCGGCCATTATTTTTGTATTTTAGGAAAGTGACAATTTTTAGGTAATAGAAATTAATACAAGTTCAATCAAGACAAAAATGTAAAACCCAATAAATAAATAAATGTATAAAATTAAATATTATATATTTGTACATTTACAATAAATAAATGTATAAAATTATATATATATATATATATATATATATATATAAAATTGTTATTTATTAAATTTATAAATAAAAATAATAAATAAATACAAATATAATTTATAATTTTTTAAATGTTTTTTTTATGTCTATTTTCATAGAGGTGCCCACCTCTAAAATTTTTCTATGAGCACCACTGGGATTTTGTGTGTCAAACTGGGAGCCAGTTATGAATTGTGATGAAGTAACTGGTTAATCAGCTGGTAATTGCGGACATAATTACTGAGGTGAAACCAGAACTGTGAGTTTAAGCTGCACTAAAGGAGAGCAGCAAGAGTCTTTACACTGACAGCTGTAATCGTCCCGGTTCCTCCTTCTCACATTCAGCCTGTGTCCTACATGCAACTTTTATGTCAAGCTTTGAATATTTTAGTACTCACTGATAAGTGAGTCTTACATCAGATCCAAATGTTGCAGAGCATTAGCTTAGCAGTCCGTGATCTCAAGCACAAGGCAGTGTGATACAGGCCATTAATCTAATTTACGTCACTGAAGTCACAGCCTGCTAATGGCTGAAGTTCAGGGATGTTTTCACAGCTACCATCAGGGCCAGATTTAGAAGAATAAGTGCCCATGGGCTGGAGCCAGTTTTGGTGCCCAATCTCAGAACAAAAAATAAAAAATATCTTTTACTCAGGCAAATTGCAGAACATTAACAGGTAAACTTACATATCTGCAGATATGATTTTATGGATAGTTGGTTTAAAATATCTAGCAAATGGCACCATGTTGGTCACAAAAAAATTATAATATTCAAATATTTGAGTGTAGTTTAAATTAATAAAAATCCAAAAATATTTTTTAGAAAACACCACGTGCCAAAGGAGCTCATTACTTTACTGTGAAGAGTAATGTTTTGTAAAATTCACATTTTGTATGTTTTTATACGTCCATTTGGATCTCTACTGCTTCTAAAAACTGACCAAGCACTAAAAAAAAAAAAAAAAAGAACAGCCAGTTTTTGGCAATACATTAATATTTTTTGGTGTTGGGAAAATGAGCAGTTTCAAAAACGTCCCGATTGTTTAGTCATAATCAACAAGCACTTTGCCGTCACCTAGCAACCCTAGTGGAGCGCCATTACGTTTGGTCAGCTTGGTTTTACCACTGTACGTGGTGTACAATGGCTGCTGGAAAAGACAAGTGTTTTATTTTCAGTGTTTTGTTGTTGACTTATACTTGCTGCATTTTTGTTGATTGTACAGGAGGCTCCACTTATGCTTTTCAAAGATGTACAGTTTGCAGCCATTTTCATGTGCGAGTTGGGTTGAGTTGAGTTGCGTGGCAAGCAGCAGCTTATTTGCATTTAAAGTGATAAGACACCCCAGAACATCTCAGAATAGATGAAATGGAGAGTAAAACCTCATTATCTATTTTTTGATTTTGTGCAAAAAATGTAATGAACATGCTTTGTAAAGCCCATAGACCTATACTAGTTCAAGGAAGCCAAAAAACCATGTAATTTCTTTGCAAACTGCTAAGAGCTAATATTAGTATTTCTATACATTTTAAATCCGTGCGCCCAATTCTTTTAAACATCAGAGGATGTGTGTTGTATCATCATTTCATCAGGAAGAAAGATTCTGATGCTTTAACAATCGGGCCACGAGTTGATTCCAATGTTCCTTGTTCAGGCAAGAAAGGGCGCCGCAAAGCGCGAAAGACAGACGCCAGCGACTTGACGCCCAACCCTCAGAAGCTGCACAACATCGGAGAGCAGCTGCAGAAGCTCAACGCCGCCATTAAGGGCATGGGCCCGGTCAACGACCTGCCCGCCGTGGCACGAGCGCGATCCCGCAAGGAGAAGAACAAGCTGGCATCCAGGTGAGACGATCCTCACTGTGACTGTGGGGCTTCGGGGGGTTTCCACTGACGCTTCTGTTTCTAAAGCATGAGTGAGAACGTTGAGTTCCCGTTGGGTAGTAACCAGTTACATTTACTGGAGTAACTTTTGGGGAAAAAACTACTTTTAGGAGTATTTTTACTACATTGTACTTTTACTTTTACTTGAGTAATTTTATTAGGAAGTATTTCTACTCTTGAGTAATTTCTTGGACGGCCACTTTTTACTTTTACCTTTGTAAAAATATGCTGAAGTCGTGCTACTCTTACTTGAGTACAAATTTTGGGTACTCTGAAAAATTGGACTCAAGCAAGAGTAGCACTATATTTACTTAAGTAAAGTAAAAAGTTGCTGTCAGAAATTACTCAAGTAAGAGTCAAAAAGTATTTGGTAAAAAGTCTATTCAGGTACTGAGTAACTTTTACTGTGGATAAAAATGCAAACCCTGCATTCAGGTTTGTTAAAGAAGCTTTTCTTCTTTTCAAAGTTACTTAAAATCGAGCTTTTCCAACAGAAATGGAAAAGATGTCACTCATATTTCTTCTGAAGCCTAAATATGTTGAGATTTAAGTAAGTCAAATGTTGATATCATCATGAAAAACGTCGGGGAAAGAAGAAACGAAGCATGAAAGAAATAAACCAACCCAGAGTTACAGACAAGTAGACAGCCGGGTCATGGGAAGTTCATTTCTGCAGTAAGGGAGGGGCAAAATTCAGAATTTGGGTCGGTAATAATGAAGAGCATAGAGATTTTAGGCTTATCTTTTACTCTCACACAAACACCCTGCATTAAGACACAAAGTGTTTCTGTTAAAACTTGCTTCTCTTTTCCTTTAATATGTCAGCGGGTTCATGTTTTATGTGAACATGCAGGTATTTCACGCGGGAAGAATCTTGTCTTTTTGTGAATTCATATTGTAGCTGTCTGATCTGAGGTCAAGGGTCACAGCAGCATAATCCTGACCATTTGCAGTCCTTCCCTCTGGCGCTGTCATGATCAGTGGTTTTTAGTTATTTTGGGATTTTCTGTGTTTAGTCCTGTTTCCCTGAGTCTCTGTGTTGTCCTCTCAGCCCTTGATTGTTCCCAGGTGTGTCTCGTTCCCTTGATTACCCGTGTGTATTTAAGTCCACCTGTTGTCGCTGTCTCTTGTCCTCGTCAAACGTACGTCGTATGTCTTTTGTCTGCTTGCCACCACAGTCGTACTGTTAAGTCCTGTGTTGGTTCCGCTCTCGTTTTCACTCCGTTGTTCCTTCAGTTGCTACTGGTAATTAGCTGTGTGCTCACTCCTTTTAGTGGCCAAATTGTGTATTGTCATTGCTTAAAACAGGGGTTCTCAAAGTTGGGGTCAGGGCCTCCCTTAGGGTCGCGAGTGTTCAACTTTGGGGTCCTCTTCAGAAATGAACCAAAAATGACAAGAACAAAGCAAATGCAATTGAGTAAAGTTGTAAGAAGCAGGACCTGAAAATAACCTGAACAGCAACATATGGGCTGTTAATGCTGATTGTGTTGTGATTGCTCCACTTTTTAACTCACTATTCGCTCATATTCTCAACCACGTGTCAGTTGTGATCATTTCACATTTCTGTTTTGTCGCCTCACTAAGACCCGCCTCCTGGCTCTGATTGGTTGTTTCTAGTTGGCAGTGGGGGAAGGCGGAGGATCGCGATCTTTCCACAGATCATCTGTACCGTACCGACATAGTGACAGTTTCAACAAATATGTAAAAAAAAGTATTTAATTTAATTTCTATTGTTAGATCTGTTCCGTGTACAGGGAGTGCATATAAACTTCCTCTCTGTAAACACAGAAGTATAAACATTAAAGCTCCAGGAATCCTGAGCTATCAGCAGTTCTGATCTGCAGGTTGATTTAACTGAGTCATGGCTGCAAGACGGCAGGAAGCACTCTGCTTTCTGAGGAGGATCATCCCCATGAGGCTGCTCAATCTGTTTGTTTTAGTTTCGTCTTCAAACGCTCTGACATCCCCTCCTGAGGACGGCGAGTCAGGAGAACAAGGCAGGGTTAAGGAACACCTCTTTGTTTAGTTTGCTTCTCCGGCTAAATCCCACCAGCTGCTCGGTAATGGGATCATGCGATGAAAGGAAAGCCTGTAGCGGCGTTAGCGGTTCCAGTGGATGACGGTCTTATTTTCCTGGGTTTCAGGGCCTGCCGGCTGAAGAAGAAGGCCCAGCATGAAGCCAACAAGATCAAGCTGTGGGGGCTCAACCAGGAGTACGGTGAGCAAAGTGGCCACTTTAATGCTCATGTTTACTGCTGAGCCTTTTAAACGTCTTGAAAATCTATGTTTGTGTTCAAAATAGTAGTGAGTAAAGCTTAAAACTCCACACATAAACCCAGTGGAAACACTGCAGGCACTGTTCTAAATAAAACATGAAGGAAACTTTATCCTATTGATTCGTCCTCTGCAGAAAGTATATAGTAGGCTGTTGTTGTTTTTATTTTTAAAGTGCATGTTTTTAAAAAAGCTGAAACCTTTAGGGTTTTAGTCAAACTCATTTTCATTTTGGGTCATATCTTTCAGTACATTTTAAGGGTTGATATGGTTGAAAATAGGATTTTTCTCATGTCTTTTTTTATGTTTGTAAGTTATTGAACCAGTTAGTTTAAATTTTATGTTTAATTCAACTTTATTTGTGTCTTAAGAAATACCTTTATGTATTTTTAGGAATGTTTGTAAAGGATTCGTGTAGTAACGCTGATGTGAACCCCAGGAAAAATACTACGATAGAGACTAATGCATCCTTAAATACACAAATAATTAATCAAGATCATGAATTTCCTCAGAGGGCCGGTCGGTTAGACTGGGGCGAAAAACTGTGCAGTTTTTTTTTTTTTTTTTTTTACCTTTTTCTGGTTTGCTGCCATGATTCTAACACACATCTGATCTTAGAGCTTATGTTGCATTTAAAGGCGGCTTGGAAAACCACATTATGGGATGTTAACAGTGGATTAAACTGTAGTACTGGCTGAAAAAAGAGCGGGAGGCCGAGGGAAGAGATACAGGAAGTACTGGAGTTCCTACTGTAGCAAACTGACATAAGAACAATAAGTTAACTTTTTATTAATTTAGTCAAATCTCCAGGAGTTGAATAAACTGAGTTTTTAGGTTGGCACTTAAAAAACTGAAAGAAGAAAAAGACAGGAGTGGGAACTATTTCCCAGAATGCTTAGCGGCATGTTTCTGTATCCTGAGATGGAAGTGCGTCACATTGATCCGACTCTGGTGTTTTATTAAGTAAAATTTTTATTTTAAAGCCTGAGGATAAAGTCCTGTTCACACTAAATGTTTCTGAGCTGAATTCATTGTGAAGTTTAATAAAATTAATCATCAGATCAGAAATTTTGTTCATGCAACTTGAAACAAGAATTTAAATTATCCTCAAGTAAAATAAGTAGATATTTTATCTTAATATTGTGAGTAAAATAATAGGGAAATGTGGCTCTTTATTTTTTTTCTTTCATATTGTGAAATAAATATTTAGTTTAAATTGCAGCATTAAGTTAAAACTCACAATTTAAGATTAATGAACTTAAAAGCAAAGTTTAGACACCTTGTCTCTTGTTGTTAAATCAACTTCATGAGCTTTAATTTCTGAGTTAAAACCAAAACAATTTTCTTGTCGACTTAAATTGCAGCAGGTGGACTTTTGTTTTCCAGTTAAACCACCTTCAAGTGTTTTACAGTGCGTTGTCTTAGATTGCATAGAGCAGCCTATTTATTCATAAGCAGACAAACAGGAAAATAAAATTCCTTCATACATCAGTTATTGATTCTGTGACGCTGAATCAGCAGCTTCCTGTCGGGTCGGCTGGTTCTGTTATTGCAGATTGTAAATAATTCACCACAACCGTGGAGTGATTGGTTAACAACGCTGAACTATTTTGAGCACAACTGTGAAATTCGAAGCAAGACTTCAACCTTCCTCTAACATCACCGCTGATAAATATGGACTCTTAGCTTTTTAAAGCCTCCTGAGTGCATACCCATAATCCTTCACTCTGTGTGTGCCTACAGTAATGCAGACGGTGGCGTACAGACGTCTCCACAAAGCCTAATAGCTTTTATCCACGGTGATCCTCTGACATGCAGCAGATGATGAGCGGTAGCTCGGCTAACACATGCGAAGAATCCGTGGCTGTAGTAATGAAATAAAAGGCGCAGAGAAGCCATCTGCTTTAAAAATGCCCCGTTTAGGAAATCCAACCGGACCAGAAAGCTGATAGTAACAGGGCCACTCCGGAGCATGTAAACACACAGAGTGAGGAAAAACCTGAGAAGTGTGACTTCACCTCCTTCCTGCTAATCAACACTTCTCCTCTGCCAAGTTTCCCGCCCGAGTCCTCCTCTTCCTCCTCTTCCTCCTCTTCCTCCTCCTCTTTAGCTCGTTTAGTTGAGCCTTTTTTTTATAGCCTAACCACTTTCTGACTTCTTTAGGTTTCCTCTTCCTCTAATTTTTCAGCATTCCACTCATTCCTGATCTTTGTCCAGCGTTTCTTTGCTTTAGTTTTGGCTTCATGAAATAGTTTGTATTTTTGGTAAAAGGCCTAAACAAACACAGCTAAACCTCACATGGTGCTTTGCTTCTTTTTGCCTCTCCGCCATCGTTTCAGAATAAGGGGGACATAAAAACCTGGAAAAACAAGAATCTTCATACAATAAAACATTTTTTGAGGACGTGAATACAGTTTTGGGTTTCGAACTGGGCAGTTGCCCTGGGTGGAATCAGTTCTTGGGGCACCCAAGAACTGGAAAATAAGATGTATATCTTATCAGTCAGCTATCCCCAGAACAAGTTTGCTGCTACTTGTATGCATGTGTAGTGGAGTAAGTTTCCCTCAGTTGATTTTCAGTACATAGAGACAACATTACCTGCTTTCTGCTACAAAAAAATCAGATAAAAAGATGAAATAAAACCCTGTTGGACCAGCATTTTAATTGGTTTACAGTTCGACAAAAGGAAGAGCTTACACCATTACTGCAGAAACCACAACTGTGTCTGTTTGTATTTCAAACATACAAATTTATGCATCGTGATTAGTCTAGTAATTTTTTAATCAACTGACAGCAATATTTATGCGTGAAATATTCTGCCAGTGGAAAACTAGTAATTTTTAAATCAATTTTAAGTCATTATTGATTTAAAACGATCTTACTAAACGATACTTGTGATTTATTTTTATCTTATTTTAAGTGTACCAAGATATTTGCTATAGAAACTAAGCCAAAAATGCTTGGTAATGTTTTGGAAGTGCATTTTCTATACCTACATATTCAAGGATTCAAGGATTTTTTTATTGGCATACCACACTACAAAAAGTCCTCTTTCAAAAACAAGAAAAAAGTAGAAAAACATAGTATGTTTTTCTTAAAATAAGAAAAAAAATGTAACAGCAACAGTTTATAGTAAGAAAAATATCTTACAAAAAAAAAATACAAGAAAAAAATCAACTTAATTTAAGATATTTTATCTTATTAAAATTTCAGTTTTTGCAGTGCAACTTTGTGGTACAAAATTTGGATACAGGTCCAATATTAAGAAATCTACCACACAAATAAAAAATAAAAATAAATAAATTTATGTGATATATGTATATTAAAAACTGTGTGTAAATAATTTATGTGGTGAAGCTGACTTCGTTCCAGTTTGAGTTCAGCCGTCTGAAGGCAAGAAACCGTTTCTCAACCCGCTGGTCTCTCTCTGGTTGCTCCTCTTCTGCAGACTGAACACCAAAAGGCATCAGAAACTTACAAATTCACTGCCTGATTCCGTGTCATAAATACTTAAACTTTCCACCAAAGACAAGCAGGTTACAGACATTTTATCCCATCCGTGTGGAAAAAGCGCAGCCTGGCAGAAGATGTTTACTCGGGTCAGGTGACCTGGCAGAAGGCGAAGTCAGAGTCGCAGGCGGCGCTTATGTTTCACCCCGTCAGCGGCAGAGTTAAACCACGGCCCGCGGTTTTGTAGACGCACAGAAAAGCAGCTGATGCAGAGAAACTGCGTGAGTGGAAGCCGAACCTTTGTTGTCCAGACGGGGAGACACTCAGCTGACTAATTAGAGGGAATCCAGTTTGGTGCTGGAGGCTCTTCCCGCCCTGCAGGCGGATTAGATGCAGTTTCTGAATGTGATTTGTGGAGCAGCCAGATGTCAGCAGCTGCACTGCTGCGCTCCTGTTACATCTTTCTTCCTGCGATGCAGACATATGTCAGCATCTTTCTGCACGGCGTCGTTCCTCTACAGCACATGCGTCAAACTCGAGGCCCGTGGGCCAAATCCGGCCCGCCGTAGCTTTCTATGTGGCCCTCCAGACTCTGGACTAAACACTAAGTGTGCTTAAATATTATGTAATCAGTCAAATCAATGCAGTTTTTACCTGTTTACTGCCAAATTATAGCAATCAGTCCCTGCAGTTTCTTGAGAATTATCGTGAAAATTCACACAAAATCAACAAATCCCTGCACTTTTTTTGCACTAATACATAATTTGGAGTTTACTGCAGATTATGTATGCCTCAGTCTTAGTAGGTGTCAGATTATAGTCCATAATCTACACAGTGAGTAATAAAAAGTCGAATTTATCGTTATAAATAAGTGTAAATATTGCAAATATTTCCAAATTAGTAGCATAAACACTTTGATTTTTATTACAAAAATCACAAAAAGAATCACGAAAACTGGAGGGACTGAAAAGATGCTCAATAATATTATTTAATTTTAAGAATTAATTGATATTTTAATAGTATGTGTACAGGTTTTATCAATACATTCTGGCACAACCGGCCCTTTAAGAGCATTCATGATCTTGATTCGGCCCAAAATGAAAATGTGTTTCACACCTCTGCTCTACTGTTTAACATTTATCCAAGATTCACAATTTACTTTAAAGACAGTGGAGAAAAACATTACACAGTAAAAACACAAAATATTACTAAGTTTTTCTGTCTTGTTTCTACATCAAAAATCTTACTGCACTTTAAATAAGACAAGATGAGCTTGTTTTATGTCAATAATTCTTGAATATTGTTAAAAAAATAAAAATTTCACTCAGATTTTTCACTTACAATGCGGGAAAAAATGTTTTAAGTGACATGACCTGACAGTAAAACTAGTAATTGTTTAGATTTTTAAAGATTTATTTACCTAAAACAAACCTTATATCTTGCTGAAAAGTTACTTGTTTAGTTTGTCTTATTTCAAGGGTTCTAAGATATTTCCACTAGAAACTAGACAAAAATACTTGGTAAGATTTTGTGTTTCTGTTGCTCAGACTCATAAAAAGTTTTTTTTTTTTTTTAAATGACAGTGTAGTTTAAAAAAAAGGCATGTTTGACAAATAAATATGCATGTTAAAGCATAATAAAAAACACATAAAACAAAAATTTTGCAGAAGAGAAATTTTGATTGCACTGAAAATTTTCTCTTTTTCTGTGTTAAGTATTAAAAATGTTTTTGACAGTTTTGTAGAATATGATAATTTTTAGAAAAAATACATTCAGTCTGTTGTACAGAGAAACCAAAGGTCACAGAAAGGATTGAAGACAGAAAATTACTCATTAAATACTGTTACAAATTGTTTCTGTGGCCGCAAACGGGTTGCAGTTTCGACATGCCGTCCTCTAAGAAATTGACCTTTATCTGAGATTTCCAGAAAGCCGCCAGCATTTCCCAATCCAGGATCTTCCACAACAGAACAACAGGATAAATTACAGCAACTCTTTTGCTGTAATCTGCTCTGGTGTCTGCTGAAGTCAGATCCAGGTCATTCTGACCCCCATCAGTTTCACAAAACGACCCAAACATTGGTCAAAGAAACGACCTGTTTTATTTCAAATAACTGCCGTCAGCTTTTTATGCCTCTTCCACGCGAGACGGGAGTTTCTGCAGGCTTCTTGGTGATCTTAAGGTGGAAAAGCAGAGTTCAGACTGCTGCTTAACTTTAGGAAAGCTTTCAATCTACTGATCATTGTCTTTGTGCCCTGGATAATTAATTCATAAAGTTTTCAGGCTCCATGTGATTGTTTGTGTCGTAGAAAGTTTCTGTCAAGAGTTTTTTCGCGCCTGATAGTCCGTTAAACTCGGTTCAACTGGTGATAAAAGTTGCAACATTTGTTACATTTTCAGCTGGAGTGGTTCGCTTTCACACTGCACTGTGTCAAACGATTCAAACTAATTAAAAGACCTGTTCACCTCCTCGCCTGTGGTGGCGCTGCACCAAGAGCCAGTGAACAAAACGGCACAAAAACCTCAGAAGAAGCAAAATTTCCTTCTTCACAGAAGAAACATAAATGAAATGCCTTCAAATTTTAGCAGTTGTAGGATTTCTCTTCTGGCTCTGGTAAAAAAAAATCACAACCCGTTTCTCCTGCTAGCGCTAGACTCTTATGTATGTTTTGGTTGAATTTACCCAGAATGCCCTGCGCTACAGTCTGTTTCCTGCTTTTGGAGCAAGCTACTTGGTATTCACATATGCATTCAAACGGCGCCAGGGTTCACTTGAACCGAACCGAGACCAAAGTTTTCATCACTGACAAAAGAGAAACCCTACTGGCCGCATCTTGTGAAGAAGGAGGTTTTGCTCGTGTCTTCTTCTGGGGTTTTTGTGTCGTTTCCTTCAGTAGTTCTAAGTGCAGCGCCACCCCCAGGTGAGGAGGTGAACAGGTTCTCCTGATCGGGCGATCAGAAAACAGGCGAACAGGTTTGGATTGTTTGACACCTGAAAATGTAACAAATGTTGCAGTTTTGCTCCGTAACCGAACCGACTCCACCAGACTAACAGGAGCGAAACCACCCTGAGAAACTCGTCTTCAAAATTTGACCTTTGCTCACCTTTGGATCTCGATTTTCCATGTTTCAGAAAACCTGTTGGGAGCCCTGCTGCGGATCAAGGAGGTGATCCGACGGCGGGTGGAAAGCAGTGAGGAGGAAGACGGAGACGAACGTGGAATGACCCAACGTCTCGAAGACATCCTCAAAGAGTCCAGCGGTGAGATGCTGGAATGCTCCCAGATTCATCATCGCTTTAACGATAAAAAACTGGCACATTCTGCAGATTTGGCGTTTTAGAAATATGTTAAAAGATGCAAATAATTCTTTTTTTAGATAAGAAAATAAACATTTTATTGCCTAAAATGCGATGCCTTATTATTCCTTTAGTATTTTCATTTGTTGCAAAGATTTCAACTAACATCAGCGTTTGGAAAGTTCAACCATTTCTGCTCAACATAAAATAAATACAGTGTAGCGCTGATCTGGGGATTATTATCTGTACAGAGTTTGAATCAGGTGAAGCTACATTTATGCCTCTTGAGGAGCACAAGGGTTTTTTAAATCTTTAATGCGAAATGTTTTTTTTTTTTTTGGCTTAATTACAGCTTTTGGGTTCACCAAATGGCCCATACTTAGAGTTTATATCCGTCAGTTAAGGATTAACGATTACTAAAATATCTGACGATTATTTCATTAATCAATTGATCAGAATTAATCTGATTGTCTTTATTTAAATGCAAAATGTAAAGATTTTTGATTAACGTCTGTGCTGTTCTTTCAGCAAAAGGCTTTTTTAAAGTTTATATACGTCAGATGATGATTATTTTGTTAATCGATTTATCACAATTAATCGTTTCCACCCTAGTTTTTTTTTTTTTCACTTTTAAACGCAGAGTGTAATTTTTGTTGGTTTAACTGCGGCTCTAAGCGTGTTGTTCTTTCAACCAATGGCATTATTTTGAGTTTATATTTATCAGTTAAGGATTAATTGATTACTACATTAGCTGACAATTACTTCATTAATTGATTCATCACGATTAATCTGATTAATCGTTTTGGCAGCCACAGTTTTTTTTCTTTTCTTTTAAATGTAACATGCTCATTTTTTACTTAATTAGAGTTCTAGGAGTGTTGTTTTTTAGCAAAATGCCCTTTTTAGAGTTTACTAACTATTAATCGATTTAAATTACTTGACCAATAATCAATTAATCTGATTAATCGTTGTAGTCCTAGATCTGTTGTTCGTTTTCTTTCCTTCTTGCTTGCTTTAATTGGTGTTGTCTGTCACATGTAGGTCCCCTAGTCGCTGGGCGGACCAAAGACTTTGTGCAAAGGATTCTGGATGCCAGCGCGAGCGGTCAGAACCAGCGTAAGGAGTCGCTGCAGGGCGGAGACGAGGCGGCGGGTTAAACTGCCCAGCGCCTGCGTTTTTTTCTCCATGCCCTCCCATCCCAGCACCCACCTGGCCAAGCAGCTCCTCTGCTCTCACCCTGCGCACATCGGAGTGAGAGCTGAGCGGAGAAGAGGCTGGGAAAGAAGAAACCGAGACGGGAGGTTGTTTCCATCCTGCTCTCCTTCAACAGCAGCACCCTGTCGCTGCAGGCTGCACCGCAAACACCACCAGGCTAGAACTGCTGCTGATATCTTTACTGTGTCCTGTCCGTCTGTGTGTGTGTGTGTGTGTGGGTGGGTGTATGTGTAACATACTGTATGAGAGTGTATAGTGCTTCTGTTTCCCTCCCTGTGCTGTATTTGTATCCCATTGTGCCTATGAATAGACATTGCACTGTTTTGTAGATAGTCGTACGTAGTTGTTGGCGGGTGAGTGAGCCGAGGGCAACGGGGCATCCGAGGACACAGGAAGCTCAGAAACCAGGAAGTGAGAGGAGCCCGGTTTCAGAAAACAAAGAGGTGGATGGATGTGTTTTCTCATTCCTCTGGGCTCCGATGAAATCACTTGAGGGACCCGGAAACAGAGGAACCTCTGGAGCTTTAAGAAACCCCCGTCTCTGCGAAGTCACGTTTCTTTCAGTTCGTCTCCACCGCATCAAAACGAAAGCAGAGCTAAAACCGAAAGTGAGAACGGCACCTTAATTTAAGCTGACCAAAGACAACTGTAACTACTGTAATGCTGAGACATCACAACCAGACCAGCCGCGTCAACCGATCACAAAAAACTATCAGAATACTGTGACTGTTGTCATATTTCTACAAGTTATTTTTTAATAAAGTCATAACATTAAAACAATGAAGATGCAATTAGGGGCAGGCATTTATCGTATCGTTTACAAATTTTGATTTATGCTAAAAAAAACTGACTGAAATGGTATTTTTACTATTTTCTCCCATTTTTTCCAACAGCAGAAACAAATATCAGTAAATCCAAAAATCTAATTAATTGAAGCCTCCATGTGCAGTTTAGTGATAAACATCTGAAGTTTATTTGAAATAGGAATATTTTTCAAGAGCAGTATTTGTGGCGCCATCAATTCTGTTACCTAAAGAATAATAAATAATATTTTAACATCTTTTTTATGGTTATCACAATATTAGTACCATGAAATATAACATCACCAACCTGATGCCATATCACCAGAATAAAGTCGTTATTGAAGATGTTTTTTTCTTCTGTTTGGGTTTAAAGCATCGTTTCCTGCTACTGATAATAATTTGATGCTGCTGTTAAAAATTAAGTATTTTCTTATTGTACCAAAGTATAACTTTAATTTTTTTTAATTTTTCGGAGAAGTTCTCATAAAATGTCTACTTCATTCTCCTAGTGTTACAACCTTGTTCTCGTATTTCTACGACTTTATTCTCTAATTATTTCAAATTTATTGTTATACAATTTTTTTCTTATAATATTATGACTAGAGAAGAAAATCCTTCAGTTTCTAGCAATCGATTAAATTCGATTACAATTTTTAGGGTTACATTGAATACAAAACCGATTTTTAATTCAGAAATCTATTTTTTTACTCAGAGTTTTGCGATTCTGTTTAAATTATGTGACTAGTAAGAAGAAACGACAGTGCAATCAAATGTAACATTTATTTAAAACAACTTCCATCAGTTTATATTTGCACTAAAGTGATTAAACGACCTGTTTCAGGTTAACTTAACTTCTTATTAAATAAAAAATACCAAAGAATTATTTAACTTAAGTGCGGTGGCCGAGCGACGAGTTTATAAATAGGAGCAACAAAGACGCACAACTGGAACGCATTTTGAGTTTGTCTTTATCGAACAAAGTGTAATAAAAGAATAAACAAATATATGCAAAGAAAATACATTTAAAACAAAAGCAGCAGAAAGAAGCATTTCACATTTGAGCATTTTGATCGTCTGCACCTCTGATTGTAACTTTATCGTTATAATATGTATTTTATTAGCCTGGCTAATTCTCCATCTGTAGCTGAGAAGCCTGATGCTTCTCCGGTTTGTCTGCAGTGGCTTCATTTAAAAAAGGGAAAACGTCCCCGCTGCCTCCCTCGCCCTCGGCTCAACCCCTGGCCTGGTTATGTAGCGCAACTTCCTGAATTGCAATGACCAATAGAGAAAACACTTGTAGATCTAGACAGCAAATAAGTCTATTTTTCTGTTTGTTTCTGTCGATGTTTTGATTCTGTTGTTATCTTGACGACGACGCGGCGGCCCACTAAGTGGGTGCTGCTCTTGAGGATTTTTGAAATCTGCCTTTGTCTGTGGTCTTTGCTGAAGCTGTAGACCAACCTGTCCAAGCTCTCTAAAAACTATTGGACACACAACAAAAAGAAAAGATAGTCAATGACCCTTTGAATTGCACTGTGGTAAGAGCAAATAAGCACCTTTGAGGAGGGTTTTAAATCCTCGAAAAGAGAAAAAAAAAAGACTTTTTGGCACCTTTCTGCAAAAACAGATATCGATTCAAAGACTTGAAGGTGCCTGCTGCTTCCGAGCAAAAGACAGTTTGGGTTTGTGTCAGTATGGTGCTACTATATGATGAAAAAAAAATGTACAGAAATGCAAATCTAGCACGGAAGCATGAGGCAGTAACTGCTGACTGGGTTTTTGTCCTGCAAGCACACGCTGCTGGTGGCGGCTTGCTTGCATAATAATGCCTTTCTGAAGTGCCTGGAGCTTAAAGCCACAGGGGCCTGTGTTATTACAGCTGATCCTGATTCCTGTGAGCGTCACAAACCTCACCTACGACTGCTGTGCCACGCTTAATGCTCCTGAGAAAGGAGAAGGAACGTCTCATCGCCTGTCAGCCAAAACAGTAAAACAAAAAGATTTCACGAAACCTACTGGAACATCTCATATGATAGGAAAGACGTTTTATTCCTGCTTTTTGCCCGCATAGCTGCTGTGTTCCAACTCAATGTGTTCCCCTCCTGACTGAAAAGCGTACAGAAACATTTCCCCTCCTGCAGAGCTTGATGTTGGTCATTCGAGAGCTGTGGTGGAGGAGTTCATTACGCTCATGAAAGGCCCAAAATGCAAATCTAAATCTAACGGATTTGATTTTTATTCATGCAAGTTATTTTTTTCCTTTGATGGAAGCAGAAAAAATTAAGTGATGTTATGATCAAAGAGTCAAATTTCAAAGTTCTATTTGATATACATGGCATTCAAGTTAACATGGTTACTGGATGGTGCTGGAAAATGGCTGGAAATTTTAAAACTTTACATTTAAAAACAGTTTCTGGAAACGTTTGAACTGTTATCACAGTTGTATTAAGCAAATATTTACAGAATCCAGTGTTTATTTACAAAGGAAATGGAGGTTGGAGGCGGTGCATCACCAATAATCTTCCTGTGTCAAACGAATACCGCGAACGTAAATGCTTGCTCCAAAAGTAAGGCAGTGCAGAAATCAATAAATCAGGACTCACCAAAGCTGCTTTAAGCTTTTCACTTTTGTTTTCATAACTTACAGTGACGTATTAGAGCCACATTTAGAAAGTAAAAAATACAACTAAAGTTACAATATTATGAGAATAAACTAACATGAGAATAAAGTCGCAGCTGAACGAGAAAAAAGTTACAATATTATGAGAATAAAACCGAAATAACATAATAATGAAGTCACAGCATTACGATAATAAAGTCTTAACATTATGACTTTATTCTCGTAATGCTGTGACTTTATTCAACCTTGTTCTCATACAGTTATGTCCTCATCATATTATAAGTTCTTGGAATTTTATTGTTTTTATTTTTTCTTATTATTACTGAAACATCTGAATTCATGGCAGAGTTTTAAAGTGCTGCTCAGCCTCCTGCCATGTGGGAGTTTTAAGTTTCAGGTTCCCGTTTCTCCTGATGACTTCATTCCTCCACAGCTGCAACACAAAAATCCATCTGCTGCGTGCATTTATATTTATGTGCCAAAAACTAAACAAAGTAAAATAACTTAACTCCAGATTTACACTGTAAAACATTTGAGCTGCATTTAGTTGTGTCTACTGTCTTCTACTCTTTAAGTCAAATAAATTTAAAGTTTTAGATTTTTAACCTAAATGTGAGTTTGTGAAAGATAAACTTGCAGAGTAAGCTGTGTTACCTTTGTATAATTTAGTCAAACCTCCAGGAGTTGAATAAACTGAGATTTTAGGTTAAAAAACTGAAAGGAGAAAAAGACAGGAGTGGGAACTATTTCCCAGAAAGCTTAGCGACATGTTTCTGTATCCTGAGATGGAAGTGCGTCACATTGATCCGACTCTGGTGTTTTATTAAGGAAAATGTTTATTTTAAAGCCTGAGGATAAAGTCCTGTTCACACTAAATGTTTCTGAGCTGAATTCATTGTGAAGTTTAATAAAATTCATCATCAGATCAGAAATTTTGTTCATGCAATTTGAAACAAAAATTAAAATTATTCTAAAGTAAAATAAGTTGTTATTTTAACTAAATATTGTGAGTAAAATAATAGAGAAATGTGGCTCTTTAACCAGGTGAGGACTTTTTTTTCTGCATATTGTGAAATAATTATTTGGTTTAAATTGCAGCATTAAGTTAAAACTCACAATTCAAGATTAATGAACTTAAAAAACAATGTTTAGACACCTTGTCTCTTGTTGTTAAATCAACTTCATGAACTTTAATTTCTGAGTTAAAACCAAAACAATTTTCTTGTCGACTTAAATTGCATTTTCAAGGCAGCAGGTGGACTTTCATTTTCAAATGTTGTACAGTGTACACAGTAAACATGGCAGCAGATTTTATGCGTCCGAAGGCATCATCATGCGGAGAATTTTTGTCTCACTGACTGTAACTTTGAATATCCCTTTAACGGGGAGGAGCCTCGGTTGGCGAGGCTTCTTGTCTCCGCTCACATTCCTCAGCTACTTTTCCTGAAATGTTCCTGTTTATGTGTGACTGAAAAGGAAAGAAAGAAAAAGAAAAACACAACAGTTTCCTGATGCGGTTCTCCTGACGCTCACATCTGAGCCACAGACTCACGCTGCAGCTCAGACCTTATAAGGACTGTGACTCTGCAGAAACTGGACAGTTCCTGCTTCCTGGTTGGATGCCACTGTCAGGCAGGGACAGAGAGATGTAAACAGTTTGGAAATCTCAGATTCTCACATGCATGGGAAAACCGAGTCCGAGTTACATCTCCTAAAAATATTTAAGTGATAGAGTGTAAAGCTGTTGAAATCACTACATTTGTTTATATTTGCATAGAAATTGAACTGAGCTCATGGGTGAGGAAACCTGCTGCTGTTTTGTTGTTACTATCACAAAACAATTGATGATCTGAGTTTATGAACTACAGCGAACAAAGTAAAAGAAAGCAAGCCTGTCACATCTGAACTAAATAACTCTTCATTTTGTAAAAATCCTTGTTAGTTTGTGCTGAAAGCTAAAGCTAACAGCTAGTCTGAGCAAGTCCAGTCTGAAAAACATCATGGTGGTTCAAACAACCCACATTTTTTTACTATTTAAACCTTCATCATGTTCCCATTGGATGGTTATTTAGAGAGATGCCAGTGTTTATATACACAGAAAATGGAGTAGAAGGCAGTGTACCACCAGTACATTGCCTTCTTCCTGTGTGAAACAAAACACATATACACTGAAAAAAATAAAATCTTACCAAGTACAAATATCTTAGAACATTTAAGACAAAACTAACTTACAAGTACAATATGGAAGCTTGTTTTAAGTTCTTGAATATATTGATAAAGTATTAGTTCTACTGCAGATTATTTCACTTATAAAAACACATTTTTGTTTCAAGTGAAATAATCTGCCAGTGGAACTAAAACTTTTTCATCAATATTCAAGAATTATTTACTTAAAACAAG